AGCCGCTTGGGCGGCGGCCCCCCTTCCCTCCCGTTGCCCGAGGGCGAGGGGCGGAGTGTGAAGCTCGGGGGCTTCCCCTCCTCGTTTGTGAATGGCGTCTCACTCCCATCGCTGAGACGGGGCATCAAGTTCCCGGGGCTGGCATGTGCTCTGCGTGCAATGCCCCCGGCCTCCGCCACCCATAAAAGGCGCATCGCTGTCACACCTGCCGTCCCCTTGTGCCGTTCTCGCACCGCTACTAGGGCTCATCGAGGGATGCGCCCCCGTGTTTCAATATGACTATGTTTTCTTTTTCCTTGCCCGACGTCAGTGGCCATTTGGGTTCAGGCGCGCGCCCGTTTCAGAACAGCCCACCCACAACCACCATGGGGCATCAAGTTCCTGGGAGTGGCAGGTGCCTTGCGTACAGGGCCCTCCGGCACTGCCACCTATATAAAACATGCTTCGCCGTCACCCTGTTTGTCTCCGTGTGCCGTCATCGCACTGCTATTAAGGTTAATGGATGATGCGTGTGTGTCTGTCTGTCTGTCTGCCTGCCTGTCTGTCTGTCTGTCTGTCTGTCTGTCTGTCTGTCTGTCTGTCTGTCTGTCTGTCTGTTTGTCCGTCTGCTTGTATGTATGTATGTACGTATGCATGTATGTCTGTACGGATGTATGAATGTTTGTATGTATGTATGTATGTATGGATGTATATTTGTATGTTTTTGCATACATATAACATTTATTCGGACAAGCACACATATAAACAGTTATAGGGAGAGGAACAATGTATTTGACAAGAGTGATACATATATTTAATGAGAGAGAAAGCGAGAAGGGAGAGTCAGCAAGAGAGAGAGAGAGAGAGAGAGAGAGACAGAGAGATAGAGAGGGAGGGATACACAGAGAGATATAGAGAGAACAACGAGAGAGAGAGAGAGAGAGAGAGAGAGAGAGAGAGCGGCAGAGAGAGAGAGAGAGAGATAGAAAACGGAATCGCGAAAGAGAGAGAGAGAGAGAGAGAGAGAGAAAAAGAGAGAGAGAGAGAGAGACAGAGAACCGAGAGCGAGAGAGAGAGAACACATAACGCGAGAAAGAGAAAGAGAGAGAAAGAGAGAGAGGCAGAAGCAGATAAAGAGAGAGAGAGAGAGAGAGAGAGCGAGAATGAGAGAGAGAGAGAGAGAGAGAAATGGGAGTACCCATGCGGGAAGGCGTACGAGAAGTACGTGAGCGGCCTGCAGATGTTGATGGGCATCAGGGATCAAAACCATGGGGTTTGGGGGGAGGTCGCTGCAGGTTTCGCTTGTTCCAGAGTATTCGGGTCGATGCAAAGGGAGGCCAGACAGAGGTCCCGCGCAGCATTGTCGCGCGGCCGGCGTCTGGTCACAGTGTAGGGCTGATGAGGAGGATGGGGCAGATGACAGGAAGTGGAGGAGCAGAAGGAAGATGAGGATGTGCTCAACATGTAGAGCTTCGGTTTCAGGTGTGGGTTCGGGCCGTGGCCTGGGGCGGTCGCGCAGCCAGTCGGGACGACAGTTGCGCCGCCTCATCGCCTTGAGTTCCATTGCCTGTGTCACTTGCAGCCCGACCTCAAGCTGCCTACAGGGAGTGCGCCTCCAGATAAGTAGATGTTCGTATGTACGTATGTTTGTATGCTTGCATGTTTATACCTATCCATACTATTCGCTCTGGTGCTACAGGTTGCTCGCATCCAGCGGGGAAGCCGAACTTGGGATTTCACTCCTGGGTGCTCATGGGCGAAAATGAGGAGACAGGGACGGCATGCTTGAAGCGGAACGGGATGGCGTGCAAGCTCAGGGGGCACGAGGAGCATGGGGCAGGTTCCTGATCTCCAGAACCGCATCAATCGTTACGTGGAAGAGGCCGAGAGGCTGCAGAAGGCCATGGAGGACCTGAGTGTCTTCCTTCCTGTCATAGCAGCTGTTTCTCTCTTCCAAGTGAGGCCGAGTGGAACTCGGCGCTTGTGCAGGCGAATATGAACCCGTAGCAGCTTGCTCGGAGCGTATCGGCTCTTGCACACCACGCGAGTCCGATCATGGACATGTCCAGGGTGGGCTCTTGCATTGACGTTCGGGTGCTTTGGGAGCAACGTCGCGTCCACCTCTAGTGCAGCGGGCGTGGGGCTCTTTCGTGGGCGACGGGGGTCTCCTGTGTTCAAGTCTGTCGTGATTGCCTCCATGCTGCTTGGCAAGAGTATGACCCATCAGTAGACACGTACACCTGAAAAAGGTTTCTGCTGACTTGCGTGAGAGCGATTGTCAGCATCCTTTGACCGTGATCGAGGCACGTTTTCGTGCTTGGGCAGGTCTGAGTGTTCTCGATCGCCGTGCGCTTCCTCGTGGATGCCAGGTTTCTCGGGGAGTGTAAGCCCGAGCCTGTCGACGTCGGCACCGCATGCGACCGTAACTCGCGCGGCGCATGCCGCCGAGCGGGCCGGGACGCGCCGCGAGGAACGGCTGCCCGATGCCTCGGCGTCTGCGGCCAGCTCGCCGCGGCCACAGGCAGCAGGGTGCGTGGGCGGGTGGTGCAGATGAAGTGCAGCGCTTTCGAGCTCCTGGGCCCTCAGAGTTCGAGTCGTGCTGGCATTCTGGCCCCTTTTGAACATTCTCGGGGAGTCGGGGCCCTTCGGAGGCCTCAGCCCCGTCTTGGGTGGCCTCGCAATTTTGTTGAGCGCAGCGAGATGAATCCCGGGACGATTCTGATGCGGTCGAGGGCTCCTTCCATGTGTATCTGAGGGCAAAGCTGGGCGGCACTGCGGCACCACATGTATTCGTCTTCGAGCCTGGTCTGGTGGCTAGGTGATTTGAGCTGATGGGTATGCGTCATGCTCCCTCGGGCTGTTCACCCGTGTCGCGGTCCCAGGGCCCAAGAACATGATCTTTCAGCAATTGTTTCCGATACATCCAGGTACGCTCGTAGCGAGTCTCGAGTTCGAGGGCAGCGCCTGCATTTCTCATGCAGCTGTCTGCGGGAAGTTGCGTCACTCTGCCAGCGCAGCATTTGGTGTGGCGCCCTATTTGGCACCGCCCAGAAGACCGTATCATGTGACATCTCTCGTCTGTATCCAGCTGCCTGCGGCACATCCCGCCATCGTACCAGCGCACCAGCGCAGCGTTAAGGAGGTTGAGCGAAAGACCCGCTGCAATTCAGCGCGCGGTCTGAACCTGAGTGGATCTTAAGCTTGACCTTGTTCCCTCGACTCTTGGAGGCCTTCGAGAAGCCTCTCAGAGGCCTCCTGGAGGGCCTCTTCAGGACCTCTTGGGGCCGCTTGGGGGCCTCTGGTGCCGTCTTGGAGCTCTCATGGCCCGTCTGCCGCCCTCAGAGGCAGTTTTGCATGCCCCTCGGACCGTCTTGGGGCCCGGGGGTTCTCTTGGGGCGCTTTCGGGGCGTCGTGGAGGTCTCGTAGGCCCTTGTGGGGCCTTCTTGAAGGCCTCTTGGGAAGTCTTAGGGCCTCTTGGTGCAGGAAGGGCGCCAAAACGACCTAGCGGGCCCACTTGACGGCCTCACAGCGGCCCCAGAATACCGCCTGGATGGGTCTAGCCGCAATGCTGGATTCACACGGCTACGTCAGAGTTTCAGTCACGTGCATTACGTCCCATGTGTATATTTACTTGAATATGATGTTCACCATCTCTGGCGTATGGCAATGTAAACGTGTATACATACATGGCAGACGATACAGTCTACTAGTGTGTGTGTGTATATGTATCATATGTGTATGTATGTATGTGTATATATATAAAAAAGCGTTTGTATGCATGTATGCTATACATACATATACATGTACATCCACACGTACATGCAACAACGACTATGTACGCATACATGAAGTTTAAGGTACTCTCCGAGGGAGAACGCTACATAGCTTGCTATACCTTCTGCCCCGTTTGGGCTCATTACTGCGCGGCCCCATTTGCCTGCGCTGTCTGACCGCGGTGCACAGTCAGCGGCCGTGGGTTGGAGAACAGGTTTTTCCTTTGGTCCCCTGGCCAAGCCCCATCGTACCCTTTACCGGTTGTTCTGCTACTATACAGAATGAAAACCCCAACCTCGTTCTCTACTTGGTGGCGGAGGTGTCGCACCTGCGGCATCTCTGCTCATTTCCACCTTCGGCGTGCTGACCACCTCCGCCGAGTTCCGCCGACGTGCCTGCAGAATCGTGGACAACCACGAGGACCAGAGCACGCGGATCATTACCCGCATCTGCGCTACCGCTGCCGCTCCGCCGACACCATCTCGGGCCATGGGCGCGCGGGGAAATTGGATCGCTTACGCGAGGGCTCTCCCCATAATTTCGACAACAACTACGACAACCCCTACCAGCACCACCTACCAGCCTACTATCGCGCAAGGAACCTCGACAACTACTACGACGGTCTCAATCTCCTTCGGCGCCATCCTCTCCTTCGAGCGCGGGAACGTGACGTGCAATCATTTCGAACGCTGGGCCGCGACGATCATTGATCGTCGCGGTCCAGCCGCACATCTCGAGCACGGAAACGCGACGAACATCTTCGTCTGCAGCGCCGAGGAGCGCCGACTGGCGAACCCACCGCCGCACGAAGCCAATCGTGGACGCGCGACTGGCATCTCCATCACCGACAGCACCCACACCAAGGTTCGTTACCTCAGCCTTGTCATCTCCGGTATTCTGTCATTCTCTATCGGGGGCGTACTCGGACACATGATGCGTGAGCGAGAGGGTGACCCAACACGTGGGCCTTCTTGGCGCCTAGCAGCCAGTGTGCCCCGCCGAGTTTGGATTCGCACAGTCCACGATTCGTTGGACGTGCGCCCAGGTAGAATGGCACCGTCGCAGCAGGCTGCAGCCATGCAGCGGGGCCTCGAAGGCCTCGCGCGCAGCCTGGCGATGCGTATCCCAGCAGGCGCCATAAGCTTCGGTGCCGAGGTGAGCGGTGTCAGGACGGAACCCGTGACGTACCTCTTCTTCAACCTGGCGCAGAGGCGCATGCGTTCGAGGGCCTTGAAGACAAGAACAATGTCAACAATGCCTCGAGCTAAAAAATTTTAGTGTCATGCCCAACGAGCGCGTCGACAGCGTCCTGGCCCGTTGGAGGTAGCAAGGTTGGAGGCTGGAACAGTTGACTTCGGATTAGGCAACTTCCAGCTCGTATTCGTTATTCTAGTGTCAGCTCTGCGTGTCCCGCCGCGCGAAGTTTCAACGCTGTTGCAGCCGTTGAGCGGGTTGATGCCCAGGAATCAAGTGGAATGCGACCAGCTACTAGAAGCCCCGCGACGTCGACGGCATATTGTTGAACGGGTACCTAGTAACATCGCCCAGCATCTAGGCGTGCCTGGCCGTAGTGGCGTCCGCCTGGTGACCCAGAACGCCTGCCTGCGTGGCGGGGGCGCGCCGGCAGACGGTCGCGCGCGGCCGGGTGCGCCCGCGGCCGGCGCTTGGACCTCGCCGCCATAGTCATTCAGACACCTCCTGGCGCTCGTGGAAACTTGGCCGCCCGGTCGCCGCCCCCGCCTACTGCGCCAGCTACGCGACCAGCAGCTGCGCCGAAAGCCGCCCCGCGGGGAAACCTCGTAGAAGGGGGCGGCAGCAGCGCCGACGCAGACATTTTGTCGTTCCTTGGGGGCGCCAACTACACTTGGAATGGCTTGGCAGATATCCCCCCTGCAGGAATTTGCCCATGCCAAATAGTAGCACGCTGGGATATGGGTGAGAGATATGAGCAGGCTTGTGCGCCGCGCGCGCTGCTGCGTCAAGTGCGCGCTTGAGGGGCAGGGCGGCGGTGGAAAAGGTGGCCGACGGCGACTCGCAGGGCGAGGTAATGCCCCAAACTGGAAAAAATTATGACCCCCCCCTTCCCCCCCTCCCCGGATCCCGACTGCCATTAATTCGCATCCGAATACTTGTTTTTTTTACTTGTCCCCCCAGGAAAAAATCAATGGATGCCGATCGATGCCACTTGTATATACATCGGTGCCAGGAAGAATGCCGATGTGACATTGTAGCTTGGTGTAGCCCCTTATGTCTAGGCTGGAGGGCGCGCCGGCCCTCGTTGTAACCTGGCGTAGCCCCGCTTGCGTGGCCCAGAGGGGGGGCGGCCTTCATCGTATCCTGGTGTAGCCCCGCAAATTTGGCCAAGAGGGCGGTGCGACCTTCGCTGTAACCTGGTGCGGCCTTGGTGCGGCCTCGAACTGGGCGGCTTGCTGAGGGCCTTTCTGGCCTGGAGCGATCCAGCTTTCGTCGTAACCTGGTCTAGCCCCTCTCCTGTCCTGTTGTTCCACCCTGCCTCCGCCCCCCTCCGCCTCGACTCCCCTCCTCCGAAAACAAACGTTAGTTGAATTATATTTTCATCGCATGTCGCCGGTCTGATGAGGCCATCTTGAGCCAACTTGGACCAGATTGCGCCATTTTGGAGGCCATCTGAAAGCACTTGTGGCCCTCTCGGCACCAGAGGGCGTGCGCAAGGGATGGTCCCCAAGTGCGGTCTCTTTCCACGCCGGGCTTGGGCGTGTCAGTTGCGACTTGTTCGCAACCCACACACATGCGCGGTGCGCAGGGGGTGGCCCCTGAGCGCAGTCTCTATCCACGCTGGGGTCGCAGGGCGTGGCAGGCGTGGCATGACGCCAAGAGGGGTTGCCCAGGAATCTGCCCTTGCGCGCAGGGCGCCAGGGCGGTCGCGGGGACGTCTCCAGCGATCCAGTTTACCCCTTTTGTTTTCTATAGGCGCACTGCAGCGCTGGGGAAAAACATGTTTTAACATGTCTCCTCAACATTTTTTATACAGAAAAACAAGTTTTTAGACATTATTCGCGCCTTCAGTCTGTCGTGGGGGCCCCAGTGGGGGCCGCAGTCGCGCGGCAGATTTGGCGCGCGGCGGGGGGGCCAGCCCGGCGCCGGGGCGGGGCGCGATCGGCCGCGTCGCTCCCGCGGCCACTCCCCGGGGGCCGATGTTCGACGGTGCGGGGGGTCTCGCGCGCAGGTTCGTCTTTGCCCCCCCCCCCCCCCGGGGGCGCCCCTGTCGGACTGCTCGGCTTGAAAGAGGAGAGGGCGGGGGCGTGATCTTGTTGGTCGAGGTGGCCACGTCGTGACTCATGACATTTGTGGGTGCGCGCTGCGCCCGCTGCAGCAAATATTCCCAACTCCGCGTTCAGACGCTGTCAGGCGAGAACGCTTTGCTTACGGGCGCCACCGAGTGCCTTGACCTCCCAGAGCGCAGCCAACGCGAACACCCGTGCTTTATCGAGGCGGCGGAGGAATGTGCGCATCTGATCTTTCAGCAGGTATACTGGAACAATGAATGCGACCGTCATTATTCAATCAACGATTGGAGCGTGGGGGTCCTTTGAGATTCTGCGACTGCTACAGAAGATGAAGAAGCTGAAGCACCGTTCCCAACTGCATCGTCATCGCATCAACCGGCAGACCAACGACCCACGTGACAACCCAGTCTTAGCCCCCATCGCAGGACCCATGGGGCGCGGCGCCTAACGGCAGGTACTTGCCAAATGCGACTACCGATGA